CCCCCCTGGTCGTGCTGGTCATCGCCAGGGGAATTCGCCGGCCCAGCGGGCCAGAGGCGTGCGAAGACCTCTGGCAGCTGGTTCACAGGGCATGTGTACATTATGTGTCGCAGGCGCGGGGCGGCCCCTGGGGGTCCCCAGACGAAAAGTATCCCGGCCGACTCCCGGCAGGGTCTGCTCAAGGATGCCAGAGCTCCTGGGGGCGGTTGTCGGGGCCCTCCAGATCGCCCCAGGAGCGGCCCAAGGAACCTCAAGGCAGCTCCAAAAGGGAGTGCGAATCGCAATCACAACCCAAGAGCGCTCCAAGACGCCCAAGATGGCCCCAAGACGGCCTAAGACGCCCCCAAAAAAGTCCCAAGAGCGCTCCAAGAGGACCCCAAAGAGGGCCAGACGAAGCGACAATCAGTGATGTCCCTTATGATTTTTTAATGGTTTTCGCGTTTCCGCGTTTTCGGCCTTCCGACGCTCCAAGATGGCCCCAGAGCCCCCCAAGACCGCCCCAAGACGACCCGAGAGGCCCCCAAGAGGGCCCCAAGATGGTGCAAGAGGGCCCCAAAACGGCCCCAGAGGAGCCCAAGACAGCCCCAAGATGGCCCCAAGAGGGGCCCAAGAGGGGGAATACGAACCACCAATTCGAGCCTTCCGCCCCAAGAGGTCCCCAGGAGGCCCCCAAGAGAGCCCAGGAGGTCCCCTGGAGGCCTCACGAGGCCCCCACCCAAGAGGCCCAGAAAGAGGCCCCCAAACGGCCTGCAAGAGTCCAAAAATGCGCAGGCAAACGCCTGCGATGGCACAGTACGGGCCGCCGGAATGAGCGAAGCGATCCGCCGCCCCACCAGGTGCGGCGTGTGAGATCCCTGCCGCACGGTCTGCACGAATTCTTTCCCCTCAGTCCCTCCTCAGAGCCCTGACGAACCCTCCTGATAGGGGTCCTCCCCGCGGCCTGCTCATTCCGCTGGCCCGGGGGCCCAGGCTGCGGCCAGGGCGCCCTCTTGCCACCCCGTCCGTCCCAGAACGACCCCCCTTTCACGCGCTCGGCTTCCGAGCGCCACCAGCCCTCTCAGACACCTCTCCGGGAGCCTACTGGGCCAATTGGGGGGCCTCTCGGGGCTCTTTCTGGGCTGACCTTGACCGCCTTTCGGGCCACCAACGCCCGTCCCGGATGCCTCTCCGCTTTTCTTCGAGTCCCATAAACCAGAAGCCCCCAACAAACCAAAAGCAGTGCAAAACACATAGGACGTTGACGATTCTGTCCTTATCGGGCTGTTCCTGGCGCTTCTCTTGGAGCCTCCAATGTATCTCCGCGTGCTCTTAAGGCCATCTTGGAACATGCGGATTCTCTCTGCGGCCGCCCTGACAGCCTCTCGGGGCCCTCCACATACGTCGTCTGGACTCCTTTCTAATGATGTCGCGAGCGGTTTTGTGCGCGCCCAGGGGGTCCCTGGAAGCCCTCCTGAGGCCCAAAACTAGCTGGCCATGCTCCCTTCTGTCTCTCTGTATCCCTCTTCGGTTCCCTCCGCCGTGTTCGACACCTCTGGGTGCCCTTTTCGCTGGTTTTCGGGCGCTCTTGGGGCCCTCGGGGGATCTTCTTGGGTTCTTTTCCGCGTTTTCTTGGACCCTCTGGGGCCGAACTGGACCCCCCCCAAAGGAAACTCTCGGCCCCAGCAACGTGTGGGGCGGCGGTGTCTGCCCCCTCAGGGGCGTTCAACAAAAAACCTGCTATCAACTGTTATCATGCCTGCGTCCGTTTCCATCGCTCCGATCCCTGGCCGCCGCCCCCCAGTGAGCTGCCGCTCCTCTCCGGCGCCGCGCTTGCCGCGCAGCGGCGGTCCAGCGCCGACGCCGCTGTCCGTGCCCGCCGCGGCCCAAGCGAGGTCGCCTGGCGCTGTCTCCACCCAGAAGAGCCGGCCGGCCCATGCAGAGACTTTGGGCTGGCCAGCTGGCCAATCCAGAAACTCTGGATGGAAGGATCGCGATCGCGAAGGGAAGGGGAAGTGAAAACCCGCTCGTCCTCGCGATCCCTCCGTGTCCGTCTGGTCTTCGTCTTCGTCGCCGTCGTCGTTGTCGTTTTCGTTTTCGTCTTCGTCGTCGTCGTCGCCGTCGCCGCCGCCTTGGCCGACCCGGTCAGGAGTCCTCTTCATCATCGTGGATCGAGGCTCGAGGGAGGGTTGCGGGTCTCGAGGATCGAGGAAGGGGCGAGGATCGAGGGAGGATCGAGGATCTCCCTCCACATCGTTTCTCGGGCGTGGTCGTCGCCGCCGCCGCCGTCGCGAGTCAGCCTCAAGAGGGCGGCCCCTCTGGACGGCCCGCGGCCGAGCTTCGGCGTGGAGCCGCGGGGGAGGGGCAAAGTCCCCGCCTTCCGCGAGGCCCCCGCTCTCTCCGGTGTCCCCCTTCTTCTCCGGTGTTGTTAGAGGTGCCCCTGGCCCAGGGTGCCCCCGGGACTTCCAAAGAGCCCCCCGATCTGCCTCCAAAGAGCACCCCTCACGAGGTCCAGAGGGCCCCAGGTGCTCGAAAACGGCGGGAGAAGCTGGGGGCTCCCTTGGGCCAGGGGCACCTTTTGGCAACCACCGATATTTGATCCCTCCCTCCCGGCCCGCGGGGGGAACTGCGATCGGCGCTGTCAGCAGCACGTGGGGAAATCTAAAGCACCCATGCTGTTTCTTCCTGGACCTCTCCCGGGATGCGTTCTGACCAGAATGTCCGGGCGAACCCAAAGGTGGCGACGAGGGCCTCCAAGGAGGCCCAAGAAATGGGAAAACTGGCGCGGGATAGAGGCATGGGTACATCGGGGGCTCGGCCACAAGACACCTTCCACAAGAAACCCAACCCTATTAAGACCCAAGGGCGTCGATTGATTCTTGGTGTGGGAAAGGCACACTTTCCATGGCGAAACCACCAAAACCCGAGAAACCCAGGGCACCCTGGAGGCAAGCAGGGCGCTTCTTGGCATGGGTCTCCACTGCACGTCTTCCTCCTCGGAAGCACGGGTTTGGACGCCCGAAATGGGTACGGAAAGAATGGGTACAATGCCCAACAACAAATGTTGTCCCAAACCAACAGCGGCCGCTGTTGGGCAGGCGGCCTCCTGTCTCAAATGTACACAGGCCGCGGCGACACCGACAGCGAGTCCTGTTCAAAATGAACAGGAACCGCTGTTGGGCGTCGTACCCATTCTTTCCGTGCCCATCTCGGGCGTCCAGAACGGGGGACCGCCGGACCACCCTCCGGCATCCGCCCCGCGGAGCTCGACGGCAAGAGCAAGCCCGTGGGCCCCCAGAGCACCGAGGCGCGAGGCAGCCACGGTGCTCGGCGGGGACTGCTCAGACAGCACACGGGGCCCTTGCGCCGCGCTCCCCGCTCAAAGTCTGCCGAACGCAAAACGGGAGAAGGAACAAGAGAAGGAGGAGGAGGAGGACGACGAAGAGGAGGAGGAGAAGGAAGAGGAGGAGGAGGAGGAGGAGGAAGAGGAGGAGGAGGAGGAGGAGGAGGAGGAGGAGGAGGAAAAAGAGAAGGAGGAGGAGGAGGAGGAGGAGGAGGAGGAGGAGGAGGCGCGAGCACCTGCGCGGGGTCACCTCGCATGGTCTCGCCGCGCGCCGCGGCAAGCCCCGCCCCAAGAGGCGACGAGGAGCCCTAGGAGGCCAGGCGCGGACCCAAGAGGCCAGGCAGGCATCCGCTCCAGCCTGACCTGCCGCCAGGGCAGGCCAGGCGGACAGAAGCCACTCCCGCGGGAACAAACAGGCCAAAACTTGCAACCGCACAGCGGCCGCCCCAGGCGGGGGGGGGGGCTGAGCCGCCCACGCCCAAGACGGGGGGGGGGCCCAAGAGACGAGGCGGAACCAGCCAGGCGCCTCGCCGCGGGGCCAGCTTCACGAGCGCCATCCCTTTTTCGCCAGCATGACCTGCACCTGGTCCCCCAGGGTGCCGACCATGTGCCGCAGCGCAGCCAAGTCGCCGCCGACCGAAGGGAAGCGCCCTGCGGACAGGCCAAGGGTCGCCATCAAGTTGGTGGCGCGCGTGCGGAGCTCCACGACCTCGGGGAGCGGGCCGCCGACGTTCTTGTTTTGTTCGCGCCACCCTTGTCCTTGCTCTTGTCCTTGCCCTTGCCCCGGCCCGCGTGGTCCACGAGGCGGTGGCCGCCCGACCGCGCCAGCGGCAGCTCGTCAGCCCGCTCGCCAGACCCCATCGGCACGCCGCCAGCGGGGGCCCCCACACCCGCCGCCGCCGCCGCCGCCGCTCCGCCATCCGCGGGCTTCTCCTGCACGACGCCCTGCAGCTCGAAGCGCGAGCCCACCTCCATCCAGCCACCGCGGCCGCGCGGGCGGCGGCGCCGAGGCGGCGCAGCCGAGGGGCCCGCGGCGTCCTCGGCGGGAGACCCGCTGGGCCACAGCCGTGCGGATGAGCCCCTCCGCCGCGCGCAGGAGGCGTGCCGAGTCGCGCATCCTTCCTGCGGCGGCCAGGCCCGCGGCCGGGTGGACCGCCATCAGGGCCCCTCGCGGGGCATCCAGTGGCGCCGCGGCGCGTGCCGCCTTGGTCGACCCTGGCATCGGAGGGCGGGGCGGGCGGCGCGCGGCGCGGCCCAACGACACGGCGACCTGATCCAATGTGGTTCTGGAGGCGGAGGAGGAGGAGGAGGAGGAGGAGGAGGAGGAGGAGGAGGAGGAGCTGCGAAGGGGCGGGCCTTGCAGCAGCCGCCGCGCGATCGCCGCCCGCGGCGACGGCCGAGGGGGCACCTCGCAAGGTTGCAGCTGGCGCGTCCCCCCTCCTGCACCGTCATGTTCCGCCCTCTTCACCCTACCCTGCCGCAGGGCAAGTCGCTAGCAAGACCCGTTTCTGTCGCCTCCGTCGTCGTCTGTCTGTCTGCCTGTCTGTCTGTCTGTATGTCTGTCTGTCGGTCGGTCGGTCGGTCGGTCTGTCTGTCTGTCCGTCCGTCTGTCTGTCTGTCTGTCTGTCTGTCCGTCTGTCTGTCTGTCTGTCTGTCTGTCTGTCTGTCGTCGTTGTCGTCG